ATCGCAGATAATTAATCAGACATTTCAAAAAATAACTGCTACAAAGCCACCCAAGTCTGTTGCGCAAAAATCCATTCGCTCCTATTAACAGCTGTAAGCTCTGAAATACAGCGATATGGCGCAGCACATCTTTCGCCCTGCTGAGCAGTAAGATTTTCCCGGCATGCTTCCATTTCTTGGATTACCTGAAACACCAGCCAAAATTCAATTTTTATGCGCTTTTGAGTATATGCAAACGCAAATACCATGTTTTGACGAACGATGGTGTGTGTGCCTGTGTATGCCAGTGTGAGTCTGAGTCTGGTTGTATGTGTCTGTCCAAGCATTTCAACTCAGCAACCAAGCAAGCTCTGACGCTAAGATTTTGACATTAGGCAGTGTGACTGCAGGAACGTAGCACCAAACACAAACGTGTGAGCCCGAATGCACGCAAATGAAAGTTCCGGTAAGAAAGGTTTGAATCTTTTCACCAAAAAAAAAACATGAATTATCAGTTCAAAAACTGTGGATGCAATAAAAATAAAGGTGAATGCTGACCTCAGTTCCACGATTCGGCCAAATACTGCCATGTAATATTTCCGCTTCCGGAATGCGTGCAATTGTTTTCAACCGTTTTTTCCACGAATTATTGCATGTCTGGATGAATTTAGCAAGCGCATTTGTTTGTTTCGTCGAATTCGTCGACCACAACTTCTCAGGCATCACACGTCTGAAAAGAAGTAAAGTTTTCAGGTATTGCTCAAGTTCAAATAGTGCATCCTGATAGGAGCACTGAAGAAACACCTGCTTTCTTCCTTATCAGTTTTTCTCCTGGTCGAAAATGTGCCGTGGCAGTTGCAGTCGTCGAAGCAGTCAAAAAAACGGTACCAAATTTCGCGAAAGGATTTGTTGGCAATAACAACTTAAACTAAACTGTGTAGCTCTAGGCGAACAACATACGCCTCTCGTCTATGAGACACAGTATTTTGTTGTTTCAACAAGAAAGTTTTTTGTGTTTGATTCTTTCAGCTCAAGATCAATGATCCGAGAAAAAGCTGCGCCTAGCATGTCAGGAATTTTTAATAACATCACTAATATGGGGTATCTAGATCTACGGGATCGACTGGCCTTCGGGGCATTCACACTTCCAACGATGTAACTCGCTCTTTTAATTAAAATGTTAATCCGAAAATCCGAAAATTTCCTCCGTATTCGCTCTAGAAAGTGGCAGGGGCACTGGGATGCAGCCGGCTG